CTAATTTGACAATAAACTATTTGTAAAAAAAAAAAAAAAAAAAAAAAAAAAAAGAAAGGCCCAAAGTAATAATGACAATGACAATGACACATAATAAATGCTACGGATCTTAGTAAGTTTGTTGGGATACATATAAAAGAACAATTACTCCTGCCAAAAGGCAACCAGGTGCAGAAAGAAAACCCAGAGGCATGAGAGTATGAACACACAGCATGTTAAGAAAGCTGATGACCAACGAAGTGACCTGAAACACAGGACTGGGGCCAGACTATGAGGGCTTTGAAGGGAAAGGAGAAAATCAGGGTGAGGTTGTTAGTGCTAGAATGTTTGCATGTAAGAGCTTACCTAATTCTCTCCACTGCCTGGGAAGTAGAGAGTTCGACCCTCAATTTACATATAAGACTCATCTACCAACTGAGCTCAATAAACTTGAGAGAAGTAACTTGCTCAAGATTCCACACAGGTAATAACGTGAGAGCTGGAATCTCAAATCTGGCACATGTGACGGCAAAGCCTCTGCATTCCCACTATTCCAGGCTGCTGGATGCCATCGTGGAGGAGTCTGGTTTTTACTCCGAAGGAAATGAGGATTTAAAGGATTTTAAAAGGAAGACTAACATGGTCAAACTTGCATTTTGGAAGGGTAGCTTCTGACAACACTGCATGGGATGCTTTGAAGTGAATAGGAAGACTAGTTAGAGAATTGCTACAAAAATCTAGGCAGGAAAAGATTAGAGTTTAGACTGACCGGTCAGCAGGAGCAGAGAAGATGGAGTGATTTACACAGGACTCCAAATTAACACATGGAAGCCCAGCCAAAGAAACCAGATGACAGGAGAGGTCCGGAACACGACAAACGTTCTTTGAGTCGTAGAAGTCACTAGGAAATAGGACTCTAGCAAGATCAGGAAAGTAATACGAACTGGAAATAGCTGGGAAACAACCGATGTTAACTGTAGTGGAAGTCACGGGAGTGGACAAGAAAGCCCAGAGTGAGCCGCACACAGTAGATAAGGTCAAAAAGGACCGGGAGAGACCTGCGTGCTGGGCTCAAGGGAGCGGGTTAGTTCATGAAATAATGGGAGGTCAAAACAATTTAAGAGCCACTGAAAGGTAAAATAAAACAACTGAAAATGAGCAACTGGCTTTACAAATTAGTCAGTTACATAGGGAATGAATCACTGGAATCTACTCCTGAAATCATTATTGCACTACATGCTAACTTGGATGTAAATTTAAAAATAAATACATAAATAAAATTAAAAAATAAAAAGAATTAGTTACTGATGACATTTATAAGAGAAGTTTTAATAATAGTGACGTTAAAAAAGAGAATTAAATAGAAATGAAGAATTGTAGAAGTGCAGATAAATTTGGCATTAATGGAAAAGAAAAAGGGTAACAAGATGTGAAAAATACTGCAAATTATAAAGCACACTGACTACAAAAAGAAGTTTTCTCTCCTGATACTTTGCTACCATCAAATGAAAGATGTATTTACAAAATGCAGAGTTTGTTGAAATAAAGATTTATATTCCAAGAAGTCTACGTTTGAGAAAGCTTTCACGACTTTAAAAAGCCATACTGTAATGTCGCATGATTTGAAAAAAGAAATATGTTCTTATTCAGGTGATGGCAAAACTAACATTCATATTGTCTTCCAATATACTTCCATAACTCAGGAGGCTGTGTAAAGAACCAAAAAGAATTGCCCTGAATCAGGGGCTCAGTCGGTTAAGCGTCCGACTTCAGCTCAGGTCATGATCTCACAGTTCGTGGGTTCGAGCCCCGCGTCAGGCTCTGTGCTGACAGCTCAGAGCCTAGAGCCTGCTTCTGATTCTGTGTGTGTCTCGCTCTCTGACTCTCCCCTGCTCACGCTGCCTCTCTCTCCCTCAGAAACAAGTAAAACATTTAAAAATTAAATAAAAAAAAATTAGCCCTGAATGAGAAATGTTTGGGGAGAACTAATGATTTAGTAACACTGCTGCTTTTCTGAATCAACAGGAATCATCCCTGATGGCTACATTACTGTCCACAAAAGCAGAAGGGTCACCTCAAACCTCTCAGCATGATTATAATTACAATCCCTGAAACTCAACAAAACTGCGTAACAATCTGACACAGAACTTTCTCTGTCTCCATTCAGGTATCATTCAGAATCATACATTATTAAAACAGCTAATGGTCAACATTCATTTAATGAGTGTGACTCTAATTAAGTAAATCCCATAGAGGCTACACTATAAATAGTAACAACATAATCACGAAGGCCATCAGATCACTAACTGTATTTTTAATGTAGAGATCCAAAGAAAATCTGAATTAAGACATATACAATACCCAAAGAGTCCTCAAAAACACAGCTAAATTAAAATAAGGCAGAAGTCTGTACACACAGAATTTTAAATATCTGATTATCTTTATTTCACAGTATCTCATCTCTCAGGCCCTTAACTCTACAATGCTCTAAGGTCATCTTATATGTACTGACTACTCTATGTTTAGATACTAGTTATTTCATAAACTAATTCAGTTTTATTTCATAAACTATTTTTTTGTTTTGTTTTTAAATAAGATCAATACAATATGAAAGCAGATATATACACACATACAGACATATATACATATATACCCATATAAACTCTGAAGTTAGGCTGGATGCTGCAGGCCGGCTACAAAGTTGTAAACTTTATCTTCGGCAGAAGTATCTAAACGATATCAATTTTTAAAAACCTCAATCCTCAGAAGCTTAACTTCAGACAAATTATTTCCTAATAGAATCTAGTTAAATTCTGTATTTTTGTGTTTAATTACTTCACAAAACTACAGACAAAATTTTGCTATAAAAATACAAAATTAATTCTCTCTTCTGGACCAGCACAGAAAACTCATTAAAAATTCTCTAAGACCAGAAAACAGATTCTGTCTCAAGAACATAATGAAAATGCGACTAAGTATACATTGGGGTTTTTTTTCCATAAAATCAATTTTGCTACATCTATGAGTTTAAAATACTCTTTTACTGGTTTTCACGTACAGTAACTTAAATCCGATTTAAGTACGAAGCTAATCGTTAAGAGCTACTTACAATCCAGAAGGCAAACCCCCGGCCGCAGTGATGCCAAAGGAATACCACACGGCCTCAACGAGGATGAAGTCAACCAAGGCTGACAAAACCCAGGAACCCAGCAAAAAGGACTAAAAAGAAAACAGGAAGAACATTACTGAAAGGAGTCTTTAGGGGCACCTGTGTGTCTCAATCGGTAAGCATCCGACTCTTGATCTTAGCTCAGGACTTGAACTCAGGGTCGTGAGTTCAAGACCCATGTTGGGTTCCACTCTGAGCATGAAGTAGACTTTAAAAAAATAAATTTTAAAAAATTTTAAACAATGTTGAAAGGAGTCTTCAAAAAATAAAGTAACATTTATTTAATTAGAACCAGCTCTGTATTACTTTTTAATATTTGTTTTTATTAGAACAGAGTTTTCAAAATGGGGGAGTAAAGCCTTATTGGCCAAATGCATTAACACTTCAGTAATTTCTAAGCATGGTTAAAAAAAAAAAAAGATATAGCATGATTTATTTTTAACAAGTAACACACAAACCATTAAGCAAAATTAGTGATTAAAATTTTATTAAAGTCAGAATCCTAATAAAAATTTTTATTGCCCCCACACACTTGATATTATCTATTATCAGTATCAGTATCATTTTATGTTAGTGGCTTAAATTTAAAATTCTTTGGTTAACAGCCATGCTCCAAATCAGACAGAGGATCATATAATTAAAAGATAATTGTTAATAACACCAAGCTTAACAAAAGAAAACTATTTAAAAATAAGAAAACAAAAGCATCTTTTTCCATTACCTAAGTAGCAAAGGAAAAATGCATAAAAACTTACCGCAAATTTTCTGCTTCCATATCTTCTTTCAAATATCCTAAAATTATAAATAAGCAGACTACTGCAGAAAGTATCTTTCAAATCAAGGCAAATTATTCTTCCACATATCAACCTCCAAATCTAAATGGGGATTTAAAACAGAGTAAGAGTGAGATTTGTTCAGATCTCTGCCTTACCAAATTTATTAGATTTACTTCATACTGCTGATTTTTAATGCTCTGATTTAATAAAAATAATGATGTACATACTAACGGAAAACTCCTCCACGCAGGCAGGGCTCCACCTTTAGAGCACAGGTGCCCATAAAGTAGGGCATTAGGAGGGGACTTTTGCCTACTTGGCCAGATAAACCAAATTAATCCCCCAAATCAGAAAGGTACCAATTGAGAGCCAAAGGGCCCTTTCGTTCCCTTACAGCAGTGGTTCTCGGGGCTGGCCAGACACTAGGATCCCCTGTGGGTCTCTTTGAAAAGTACACCAAGGCCCAGGCCTACCACTAGATTTTCAACTCGGTCTAGGGTGAGGACTTGGCATCAGTATCTGTGAGAACATGCATGTGTACATGTGTCTGGGGGGAAGGGTTAGTTTATGCAGGTGATTCTAATGTGCAGCCAGGGTTGAGAACCAGTGCATTATAGCAACTCAAACAATACAGAAGCTATATTATATTATGACAGAAAGCAGCGGTTTGGATAAATAACTGAAAGACTTTAGAGGCACTTGATGGCTCCAACATTGGCAATGGTATTAATTATATGAAGAAAAGGTTTCAGTGTTCCACAAGTAGAGTATTATGCTTAAAATGACTAATCAAGTATTTATTTAGCAAAGAAAAGGTGGTAGATTATATACCATGCTTTGCACTAACACTGTGATATTGTGATTTATAATAAGAAAGACTTGGTCTTTACTCTCATTTCTGGCACGAAGCTCTTGAAACCCTTGGAATTTCCTAAGCGATGAAAGCCATAACAGGTGTCTTTTATTATGTCAACGTGTGACTGTTAGATGCACCTAAGGATGGGGCTGCCTGCCAGCGGAACCAAGCTCAGGATGAGGGGGCTGGAACTCTCAGTCTCACCCTCTGACCTCCCAGGGAACAGGGAGAGGCTGGAGTCTGGACCAGCTGCCAATACCCAATGATTTATTTAATGAAGCTTCTTCCAGGAACACCCAAAAGGCCAGGGGGTCAGAGAGCATCCAGGCTGGCGAGCGCAAGGCGCCTCAGAGAGACCAAGAAAGCTGTGTGCCCTTTCTCCATCCCTTGCCCATGGCATTTCTTCCATCTGGATATTTATTTGTGTTTTTTATGCTATCTTTTTATAATAAACAAGTAATCTGTAGGTAAAATGATCAAACCTGAGGAGGGGGTCATGGGAACCTCTGGTTTAAAGCCAGTCAGTCTTAAGTAGTAGTAGCAATTTGGACTGGCATCTGGTGTCCAAAGGGGAGATCGTGGTAACCCCTAATCTGTTGCCAGTTGGTCAGAAGCACAGGTAACAACCTGGGCTTTGCAGCTAGCATGGTGGGGAAGGGGGAGGCAGCCTTGTGGGACCTAATCCTTAACCCATGAGATATGACGCTATCTCCAGGCAGCCGGTATCAGGAGTTGGTTGACTTACAGGACACCTAGTTGGTGTCCCAGAATTGCCTGGTGGTATGGGGAAAGCCCCCATATTGGAACTGGTGCTAGAACATCCCTTTTACACTCCCAACTCAAAGACAACATGCAGTGCCAGCATTTTCAACGAGACCAGCCCATATATCTCAAAAGCCATAGATTTCTGCTCTTCCCAGAAGCAAAAACCCAAGGGAAATTTCCCACTTGATATAACCACCACTATAAAAGTAATTCATAGATTCACAATCTGTTAGACCTGGAAGAGCTTCGATCATCTGATCAATACTCAAACACTGAATATAAAGTGTGGAAATGTTAAGTACAAAAATGTTTCCAAAAATGCTAAGAATGCATACTAATGATAAAAAAAAAAAAAAACAGAAAAAAAAACAGATTTAACATTGCTTTTCTTTTGAAATTTTGGACTGCATTTCCATGAGTAAGAAGTGAGAAGAGATGTGCCTACTAGTGAAAGGAAGTACTGCAACTGTGTCATTCTCATCAGCTTTCCTGAAAACAGCAATACAACTAGAAAATTTGCTTGCTAATGGAATATTAATAAATAATAATTTCTTAAAAATTTAGAGGCTTCAAAGGACTGAGAAGAGCAGAAAAGAAAAAACTGCAGAAAGAAAGCAGAAAGAATGGCAGAAAAGGAAAAACTTCTGCCTTCTCTCCTCCCATGGGCCAATCGAGCAGAGCTCACCTGGAAGTCGTCCTTGATGGCTTGGAGGTCATACACGAAAAACCTCTGACAGTGCGGCAGGAGGAGGGCCAGCAACAGGGACAGGGCGCTGGGGACGAGCAGAAGGCCCTTGGACAGAGGGGCCTTATCTAGAAGAAAGAAAACTTCTTTCAGAATGACTGAGTCTAAGATTTAAAAAACTACCTGGGTGAAAAGCAAGAGAATTCACTTCTTTCGTATTAGAATGAAGACCAAGGTTGTAAACTCTGGAATTTAGTTATTAACATGTATTTTCAAAACCTGGCCCTACAGAGGTAAGTGATCAAAGGACCCTGGAAAACCAGTGGAATTTGCTGGCAGGGGTTCACTGCCATTTAAAAGAGCCCAAACCAACTTTACAACCAGTAACTTCCACCATTAAGAAAATGGTCACCAGGGGCGCCTGGGTGGCTTAGTCGGTTAAGCGTCCGACTTTCGCTTAGGTCATGATCTTGCGGTTTGTGGGTTCGAGCCCCGCGTCGGGCTCTGTGCTGACTGCCAGCTCAGAGCCTGGAGCCTGTTTCGGAGTTTGTGACTCCCTCTCTCTCTGGCCCTTCCCTGCTCACGCTGTCTCTCTCTCTCTCTCCTAGAAATAAATAAAACATTTAAAAAAAAAAAAGAAAAGAAAAGAAAATGGTCACCAAAGAGTGAAGAAATAGAGGAGGATGTTTGCTATTAAATTGACCAGTTAGCTCAGAGCATGCATGGGATTCACAACACATAAACATTTATTTAAAAAAATTTTAAAAGCAGTTTTAGAAGTGCTGCTATTGCTGACTGCTGCAGCATGCTGAGATTCCCCCACGGGTATGAGCACTACGCGGCCCAAGGCAGTTTCCCATCTGAGAGCCGTCTAAGTCTTCCAAAGCCTTCACGGTACAGCTCAGTGGCCACTTCCTCCGTGGTTCTCAGTGAACCATTTTACCCTCAGGGGCTTCTCCTCACTCTGCCCCTTGTTTTCAGGTACTGTCTGAATAGTCAGGGCTTCACACTTGCTTTGCCTTCTGGACCATATTAAACATCCCTGAGGAGAGGCCACCTGCTTCCTCTTCTCTATATTGGCCTGGAGCCTATGTCAGCTCTGTGAACGTATGAAATGGTCAGATCACCAACAGGTAAGGCCAAGGGAAAGCCCATCACCAATGGCAACATTCTCAGATTGTGTGAAGTACACTTTAACTGTATTCATAAGAAATTCCTGGGAGTGAATTTACTAGTTACAGTTGGTAATGCGGTTACTGCACCCATTTAAGTATATAAAAATAGAGCAACTGTTTCCTTTCTGGTAAGGTCTTGCACACATCTAAATTGGAACCATTAGTAAAGTAGCTGCATACTGTCTTTATGACCCAGCTGTAATCAAGGCTCCAGGAAACCTAAAAACTGAGAGCTCCTCATCGCCTAGAACCTCAAAAGTATGGAAGAGCACTGTGGCTGTGAGCCTGACCAACACAAATTCTATTCTGCGTCATTTAAGCTTTTATTTGCTCACCTATAAAACGAAGGGAAGAAAATCAACCTCAAAACCATATGAGAAGCAAGTGAAATGAAGAATGCATAGAGGGGAGACGGCTCTTGCAACCACTCTCAACCCCCAAGGGACAGGGCTGCCACCACGCTCAAGCCACCCAGAAGACAGGGCTCCGACCACGATCACACCACCCAGGAGACAGGGCTGCCATCATGCTCATGCCACCCAGGAGACAGGGCTCCCCCCACACTCACACCACCCAGGAGACAGGGCTCCGACCATGATCACACCACCCAGGAGACAGGGCTGCCACCCCGCTCACACCACCCAGGAGACAGGGCTCCGACCATGATCACACCACCCAGGAGACAGGGCTGCCACCCCGCTCACACCACCCAGGAGACAGGGCTGCCACCACGCTCAC